AAGAAGTGTGTGTTTACGCTTTATTATAATAGTATAGAAGTATAGATAGTATAGATATATGGCGAAGTGTTTTGTTTAAAATATACGAAAATGTTTTTGTAGCTCATATTAAAAATTCTTAAAGCAAAACGGACAGTTTGAATGGACTCTGACTTGTTGTGAAACTTTTTAATAAGTTCAAAGCGAAATTCTTTCAGCGAGTTATACTTTTCACGGTAATAAGGCGTGCCGTTACATTAATTTACTCAAGAAATAAAGTTATTTTAAAAGTTCGCTTTCCTCATGAACAACAATAAACGTCAGAAGTCAAAATGTCGACAACTTTATGTTAACATTTTGCGGGTTTTATTTTAAAATGGTTTAAAAATATCTCACGTATACCAAACAAGTGTAAGCCGTGATGGCAATATAAAATTTCGATAAGATTTTCAGCGAGCGTAGTTTGGCGAGTTATTATTTTTTTATAATCATCTGTTAAAATGCGTACGTGGCTTTTTAATATTTTCAGCTAAAAGACATCCAGTTATTGATAAAGATGATGATGCCTTTGGAAAAAACTTTATTCTGTTATGTTCCTGAAACTTCTTAATTGATCATCTACTATCTATTTAAAGCAATCTACTATTATGCATTGGCAATATCTTAATCAAACGAAACATGAACGTAGATAAATACGCGTTTTTATTATATAGGACATCTAAACTGTTTTTTTAATTTATCTTCTTTTAAAAACTATATTTTTAGTATTTATGTTTAACTGTAAAACCTATTTGTCAGAACATGGAAACAGTTTTGCGTTTACATTTAAAAAACAGATAAAATAGAGTAAAAGCTTTACCTGAAAACAAAAACAAAAACTAAAAATCCCACCGGTCGTTATTGCATGGACGGACATGTCGTTCCCGATGACTTTATTCACGTTTATTGAATTGTCAACGTGAAAGTTGTGTCGAAATTCATCTGAGTGTTATGAGACTTGCTACAGTGAAAATATATTCTAGACTAGATTCAAAATATAACACTAGCTCGCGACTTTGCCTGCGTCAAATTAATAAATAATAAGAAACAGCTATGTAAATCATTGGTAACGTAACTTTTTAATGGTGAAAGAATTTTTAAAATCGGCACAGTAGTTTTTGAGTTATTCCCATACATCTTTCACATAAATCTTTCCTCTTTATAATATGAGTATAGTATTATCATTGAAAGGAAATCTTCATGTACATACCTACGTAATGGAAATCTAATGTTAGTTTAAAAAATTGTAATCCGACTCGAAGGACCAAAATTACTGTGTGACCTTTAAGGAGATACGGGTAATTAATGGTAAAATATTTACTTTACAATTTACACTTGTACCATTATTGTCTGGTCTCCAGCGAGCCTCCTGTCTCCCGCCAGTACCGTAACAATAAATGTTGCAGCTACAATTTCACACAGATTAGTCCCAAAGGTGTACTAAGTTGTATCCAATACGTGTCCTCTCTGCAGTCTTGGGTTATTTCAACAATATTATACTACAATAGTATTTCCTGCAGATTATAACACAATATTTTATGTTACAAACATTAACATCTCTTTAGATTAAAATTCTTGGTAATTGAGCCCGATGTCTTAAGGTCAATAAAGTAGTCATCAGATATTTTGTTTTAAACACTTTGTTACCTAAATTTTCTATTAACAATTTAGTATTATTTCTACTGTTAATTTCAGGCTACATTCAGTTTTAAATACACAAGTATACAATTGTAATATGACATTTTCTAATAGGTTGCATAAAATAAGCGAAAAGTTAAATTTGAAGCTCATATCGCGTGGTCGGTTGCCGCAGCGATAAAATACATTTCAGGCCGGCACTTATTCGGACACTGTACAGCGTTTACATTCAAAAAAAAAGTAAAATAACCCTCTAAAAGCTTTGGCCGACATCGAAAAAAACGAAATTTTCCAGCTCGACGTTATTGTATTGACGTCGCAATAAAAAGCCTTGAAAAATGGTCCGCTTTGGGAAAATTGATACACTCCATGTATCTTTATTTAACTGTCGTTTCCCCAATTGTATTTCGATGTCTTTAATTGATATGTTTTCAAGTATAAAAATTAATTTATGCGTTAACAAAATCTATATAATTTATTTTTGTAGTGAAAAGAAAATGTTTAGCCTGGATTTTTAAAAAGATTTTTTATATAAATAAATTACATTAGATAAAACTACTTTCTTTAAACCCTTATTCAGCTTCTTTACTCGTTGCTTTCTACTTGTAGTATACCAAAGAGTACTATTGTAATTATTTTAAATTTTCACGATATGTTTTTTTATTATAGGTTATTATTTAAACTACTCGCATGTTACTGGTTGCATAGGTTTATTAAAATAAAAGAAAATTAAAAAATCAGATCACATTTATTTCCTTTTCATAATTCTTCATTACAATAACATAAATATGAAAATGTACTACACAAAAATACTGTATCTTCATACAATTTATACGAAATACATCTAGAATTTACTTTTACTAATTTTATGCTTATAATTAACAAAAATAACACCCACATTGGTACTTCAAATGCGTATTAAAACTTTACAACCTATTCCTATAGCCGTACTCTAAACGGAATTAAAAACATAACTCCTAAATAAATACGACGAGATCATTAACTGTTGCATAAACTTGTACGTCAGCTGTCTACCAATTGTATATCACACGTGTTGTCAGGTCTGCACTCGCAGTGCGCGCGGCCGTCGCGCCACACCAGCCACGAGTCCGCCGCGCAGGGGCCCTGCGTGTGCAGCCAGTGACACGCGTTGTCGTACGTCACTGCGCCCTTGCGCGATGAACATGATGCAACCTGGAAAACACGACTGTTAAATTCAAAGGTCGACTTGTTATACTTGGGCCCTGTCCTATTACTGGCTGATAAGGGCTCCGATAGCTTAAAAATGACATCACTGTGAAATAAGGGAACATAATCTGATATTTCTATCACATATTTTATACGTTGGATTGTTGTCAGACAATTTACATTTTGGTGGGCTAGGCATTATTGTTATAAATGAGAAAGTTTAGGTGGATGAATGTTTGTTTGACTTTGTAGCCTAAACGGCTGAACGAATCTCGATGAAATTTGGCATAGATGTAGACCATAGTCTCGAAGAACACATAAGGTACTTTTTATTTCCATGCGGACGGTTTCGCGGCAAAAACTAGTAATGATTAAATGTAAGTATGTACAATCCCTTCGATAATCGTATACTAAAGTGAACTTGCAGGACCCATTCGTGATATTGAACTTGTTGATCAACGACAATATATAATCATATTAGTTACTTTGAGCTTTTAAGTTACATTACAGTTTAGTAACATTTTTATACATGTTACATAGTTAACACTCATGACAGTTCACGGGACAGTAGGTGTCCGTGTCAAGCCTTTTTCAGTGGAAAAGATTTGATAGGATATTACTGCCCCCTCGAGCTTCCTAAATTTTAATGCCGTAACTGTCACACAATCTAATA